TAGGCTTATATCATCTGACCGGGTGGCATCCTTTCTGATGATATGGGTCTAGACAAAACTGTTCAAGTATTTATCATTATCTTTCCTTCTTTTGTGCTATACATTTTGTGATTCGTATTCCTGCTTTCAGATTATAGCATTCCTTTCTGGTGTGCAGTCTACCAAAGGTGATCATGGACATGCTGTAACTGCATTAATCGTAATGCCTGTGAGTCTCTTAATCACATGGCAAAATGAAATAAATCGTTGGACTCCCCAACTTCGCTTTTTCGTATTTCACGATATTGATCGTCGTGAAAGAATGCGTGGGCTGGCGAAAATTCAGGAATATGGAGGAATTTTGCTTAAAACTTATGGGACTTTAATAGCAGCCTGGCAAGACATCTCAACTGACTTTAATCGGTCTGGGAAATTTCTTAACAATGCTCGCCAGAGGTTCCCAGAAGACAAGCTTAACAAGGAAGATATGTACACTTGGGACTATATAATACTTGATGTAGCTTACAAAGTAAAAAACCCTTCTTCGAAGACAACTAAGGCATTGCGTTCCATTCCTGGTACTAAGCTTCCCTTTCTATACTGATTATTGCTTTGAATTGAATTGTGCGATGATTAACTCAAGATATTTTAGTGTGTCAAGATGAAGATTTAGTAGTATTGCCCAGACAGAAGTAGACAAACATGTTTGTAAGGAATAAGAAAAATGATAATATATAGCTTTTTTGGTACAAACCTTGATGATCTATCATTAAGTTCAGAATCGTGGGTAGCGCGTAGAATGGTTTCTGAAGTTCCAAAGTAGTTGAAAAAATGAGTGAGAAATATCTAACTTAAGGATATTAAACAAAGGCAATTTTTTTAAAGCTCCCAGATACAGCGATAACATTCGAGCAAACCACACCCATAAAGATCCATCCACATGAAAATAATAATAGGCCTTTAATTACCTATGAGGTTAGCAGCATCGTGGTATATGATTGATCTTTAGAGGTGTTAATCACCTCATGCCGCTCAGCCGGCTTAGTGAGACGCCCATCGAGTCTAGCAACCTTGTGAAGAATACGTGATCCAATAGACCTAAGGATAGTGTTTCGATAATTGAGTACAATCTCAACAATATCTAAAAGTCGTAGACTTTGAGAAGATATGAGTACGATTGAGTGAAGCATCTGATTCATTAGAATATCTGATAAAGCTTTCCAGAAGACATACAAGGAAAGCGAGCTTATTAAATTCAGCAAGCAATTGATTTGCAGGAGGAAGAGCGCTCAATTTAAATTCGTCTATAAAATTTTCCGGAGAATAGTTTTCTTGAGAATCTAGGTCTAAGTTGGCACACTGACGGGGAGACAAGAGCCT